TTGTTGTGCAGACCATGAAATGTGGAGATGCGATGGAGACCACAAGGTGGTGGTATCTCCATCTAACGTAATGGAGGTGCGATGGAGGATCCAATCGATGGAATGGTTATCGTTCAAAGGGGAGCCATGGGTACTTCATTCGAAGGAAAATTGTTAAGGTTGCGAATAAAGTCTCACATTGGCAATAAATGAGAGCTATAATGGGTTTATAAGGGAGTGGCTAACTCCACTCATTAAGTTAACTTTTTGAATTGGAACGCCAATCTTTATGGGGAAGCCCATGGTCCTAACAATATATAATATATTTTGATTCTAATAGTCTAGGATCAAAATACTAAAATGAAAAAAGAAAAAAAAATTTAGGTAAAAAACCAAAAAAATTAAAAGGACTTGAATAAAATAAGGGGCCAAGGGGATCTCATTACAACAAAAATGTCGTCGTTTTGCTCAAAATGGCAGTAAAGTGTAAGGTTTTGACACTTCTATTATATATATATATATATATATTTATTTATTTATTTATTTATTTATTTATTTATTTTAAATGTAGTTCCCTACTGTAATACAGTTGTCACTTTTCAAGAATATAGGTCCCGTTCACTTCGTTTATTCGAGTTGAGATGTGACTTTATGTAAGAGCTTTTTACTGTAGTAAAAAAGTTAGATGTGATTATTTGTGAGAGCTTTTTACTGTAAAAAAACTTAAATTCTAAACTCGAATTAACGAAGTGAACGGAACTGTTTTTTTTGTTATAATTTTTTTGAAAGAATTATGCAAGCTACTGGTGCTTATACAACCTGCATATAAACAGACAAAAGGAAAGGAGATATCGAAGCTGCAAGGAATATTGAAATAGTAGTTTACTTGTTCATGCGTGTGGTCAGTCTCTGTCGTTTAGTTACAAAACACATACAAAAGACATTATTGCTTGGTATTTATGAAAGATGCGATACAAAATAGTACATAATATGACCATTTTCGTTGATGCACAAGGTCGTCAGAAGAAGTCCGTACTCGAGCGTTTTTTTCTCTCTTGTATTTCCATAAATGGGACACCAAATCTTAAGACGTGGGATATGGCGAGCCCCACTTGATGTCGTAGACAGAAATACCAAACTTTGTCACGTGGTTCGTATGCAACACTGTCTGCCATTGTAAACTTTTTTTTTTTTAATACGTTTAGGAGGAAACCATTACACTCCAAAAGGTTAGAGAAAAGATGGTGATCAGGTCCACATCCAGATTGACAAAAAACAACTTGTGTGGTCAACCATAAATACCAACCAACTAAATTTGTGTAAACCACTCTTTATCTGATTCTCATTCACTCAGATTGGACATGTTGAAAGTAATGGCAAGCATTCTGCTACGTGTGCCCGATTGGTTTCCTTGTCGCAACAATGATTTTTTACGGTTCTTGTTCTGTATCGTCTGCTTTTTTTTGGTTAATATTTGAGGTTGTGTTTTAAGCAACTAAATAAACGGTGAACAAGCTACTTTCTTTCCTTTTTTTTTTTCGGTTTAACAAGGCAAGTGAAGGGATCTGTCAGAATTAGACTAAGGGCCTGTTTAGTTCGCTAATTCGAGTTTATATGTGACTTTATGTGAGAGTTTTTTGTTGTAGTAAAAAAGATAGATGTAACTGTTTTTTAGAACTTTTTACTGTAATAAAATTCGAATTCTAAACTCGAATCGGTAAAATGAACGGGGCATAAATGTGTGGAAATCTACTACTTGTCATGTAAAATCTTTGGCGTCATTAGTGTTGAACTATTTGATTATTTGGGTTGGAATAAAATATCATGAAGACTTTTCTAGACGATATTCTGACTTATTCATTTCTTTATTTCAAACCTTGTGAACAGAGAGTTTTCACTGAATTTTGATACGCATCCTTAATTTTTTTTTTCCCCTGATCAGGTGTAAGCATGACGGAGTTGGATGGTTCAGTTATTTACCATGTACACCGTCAGCGTTTATGTTTTATGCCTCAGCTCTATTTCTGTGCATACATTTGCTGTACATTTGTATTATTTCTTGAGGTAATATATATATATATATATATATATATATATATATATATATTTGATGCTCTAGAATAAAATAGAATGATAATAATATTATTAAATCTTATTGGCATATGTACAACTTTGCCCCCTATATATATTTTTCTTTTTTATTCAATAATAATAGTGGATGGAGTGAAACAAAACATTAGACCACTGTCTCAAATATATATATATATATATATATATATATATTTGATGCTCTAGAATAAAATAGAATGATAATAATATTATTAAATCTTATTGGCATATGTACAACTTTGCCCCCTATATATATTTTTCTTTTTTATTCAATAATAATAGTGGATGGAGTGAAACAAAACATTAGACCACTGTCTCAAAGAGTACTTTGCCAATGTGGAAATTGATGGTCCCAGAATCACAGTAGGCAGCATAATAGAAAGTCTTGGCCACCATGAGAAATATCTGCTTGATATTTGTGTCGATCTCATCTGAGGAATTTTGGAGCACCAATTGTACAAGCTCTTGCATGTCTGATTCTATTTCTGGGTTGGTTGTGCTTTTTTTGTTGCAGCTTCCATTTTGGTGTACCTGGGGATGGTCAAAAACAACAAGATTGTTGCTTTTCTTACAAACAAAATGTCAAAAACTTTGGAAAGAAAAAACAAAATAAATTGTGGGATTTGTGAGTTGACCAAAGATTTCTTGTTATATCAGAACACTCACAACAGTAATATATATATATATATATATATGTGTGTGTGTGTGTGTGTGTTGCGTTTATTCCTTCTATATTACTAACCTTGTGCTTCTGTTTTTGGTGGTGACGAATTCTGCTGCAAACTCTGTTGGTGATGTTAAAGAGTCTCGTGTACTGAGGATTTGACAGTATGCCATCAAGAGGAGTACGGGCTGCGATAAGATTTATTGTTTGGATTAATAATTCTGCTTCTCCATGGTGGAGTCCATCTCCTCTCTCTTGCCACTTCAGCAGCCACTTTTCCCACTGTGGAATTTGCTCATAATTAGCACCAACATTTACTTCTTTTGATTAAAAACAAAAGAAATGATAAAAGTATTACTATAATTAGGAAATTCCTACAGTAAGAATTCTCTCTCTTTTACTATCAGTAGGAAACTTACGTTTTTACCGGTATATACGTGTCCATATTATTATTTACAATATTAGAACTGCTCTCATTTGCAGATCATACTGTTAAAAATTTATAAATAGTGAAAAAAAGACAGTTCTTACCGTAAAGATTCTCATATTATTATTGAAGAATTTTGTACTGTCATAACTAATATAATTTGAATTAATCTAAGAAATTATCCTTTGATACGCAACTTTACTTTAAAAATTCCCATTATTATTAGTGATAGAAAATGAAAATGTAATGAAATAGAGTGATCAGAAAGCACATTATTTGAGTTTTATTTGAAGGGTGGCATCTAGGCTTTCAAAATTAAAAAAGTAGCTTCTTTTCGTTTTGTAAAAAGACACAAAGTGTCATTATCAACAATAATTCAATTACATATTGTCATGCATATCGTTGGTGTGATATTATATTGGACATGAAAGATAAGCGATTGATTGAAACATAATAGGAATAATTACTAATAAATTTGATAGGAATCTTTATACAAAATAAACTCACAGCTTGACGTAGATGGTGGCTAATGTCCCGACCATGCACTATCATTGTGTCCAAAGAGAGGTGGCTCAGGGTGGCAAGCAAGCTCCTAAGTAATCCATGACCTGTTTTGGTTATATTCGATCGCCTGCAAGTAATACATTTTTATATTAATTTAATTTGTCTCTTTAGGGGATTAAACCAACACACATCATTAATTAATAATGTTTTGGAAGCACTTAAAAGCTCATGGAAAACTTAAATTATATATAGAAAGGGGGCCAACAATAATATTTAATATTCTTCAATACTGTGTGCGGGACACAAATAGCCAAATGTAAGAACCAAAAGAAAAAACGACACCACCTTATGAAAAAGAAGTTGATGTGTACGGCATTGGAAAAAGCTTCGAACGTTAATTGTTGCATACAATAAAAAGAAGCTGACGATGCGTACGGCGTGATCAAAAGAGACATTTTGTTGTGGAATCTTTCTCTTCCGTAAAAGAGAAAAACACAAGATTTTTTTTTTTTTTTTTTTTTTTTTTTAAAAGCAAAGGTTGGCTACTACTAAAAATCATGTTCCTCGGAAGAAAATCAAGTTAGCATTTAATCATGAAGTTAATTAACTTCAACAAGTGAAAAACGTAGGTAAAAAGCTTAATTATATAAAAATAAAATGATCATAACTAGCTAATTAGTGATATATATATATACCTCGCAGTAATCAAATAATCAGGGACATTCACATTAGAATTTCTTTTGAATGCATAGACAAAGGCACTCCGAAGCTCATAAGAAGTTTTCTCCTCGTGAAAATATGATGTGATGGTCTGCATCAGTGCCGCGGTTTTAGCCCATGCAAGCCTCTCATCGGCTCTCTCTGGTTCGAAAATATTGGCCGTCGCAAGAAAATAAGCCACGAGAAGGCTTCTTCTGCTTAACCCATATTCTCCGAGTCTACAATCTGTGTACCACCTACATTATCATGCAAGTACACGTACGATTTTAATTTTATGGTTTTTAAACATGGCTTAGCGCGACTGATTCCACCGTAAGGTCTTAGAGTTCAAATTAATCTATTCATGTATATCTATTAATTTCTTATCGATATATCATAATCTTATGATGCATACAGTATGTGTTTTGTACGTACTTTTGCATGTTGTGCCACTCAATCGAATGCACTGCTTGGCAAATGTTATAGTCTAGCTTTGCCAGCTCGAGATATTCATTGTTGTTGACGTAGGACATCCTGAGGCAATAAACGGAAAATAAAATATCTTCAAATTAGAACCTCAACAGGGGCACATCATTTTGAGGGGATAATGATAAGAAAGAATATGAGACTTTTCGAAAAAGGTACATACATTAATATTTAATAAAAAGAAAAAAAAAAGTTTGATGAAAAGAAAAGAAAAGAAAAGAAACCTGTATAGAGTCTTGCCAATCCAAACATCATTTCGGCCACCATACTGTTCAATATAGAATCTGGTCTCCACTCGAGGTAGGCTCGCATGCCATGGAACATCCAGCGAGTAACTCACCTGTGTACTCATTATTTATACACAACATTCTATGGCTAAGAATAAAAATTATAATTCAAGGATGAAAAAAGCACAATCATGCATTTTTACATGATCTTTCATGATCATGACCACGCCACTGCCATCATAATTGCTATCGATAAATTTTGATCCTCCAGCTTTTCAAGAAATAAAGAACTAAATGTGCCTTGTATAACTATTACCTGTAACTCTCTAGCCTGTTCTCTCAAATAAAAATAATAACAAAAAGGCTGGCTAGATTGTGATGTAGATAACTTTTCTTATCGTATTATTGGCGTCGTGTTTATATATATATATATATATATATATAGAAAATTATTGATGTGGTGGTACTTATAACAAACTATACTAATAAGTCTCATCCATGCAGAGTACTAAATTCACTTTTAAAATGTCCTCTTGGTATTTTCTGGTGCAAATTTCTGTCGTGTACTTCGTACCAAATTTGACCGACCCTCAGTTCAGCACGTATTTCATTTTTTCCACAGCATATCATAATTTCTAGAGAGAAAATACTCATCTGTGTCATAATAAAATATAACGATCCTGTTTAGAATTGATTCTGTTTTTATTTTTTATATTTTTCGAGAAAGAAAAAATAAAAACGTTTTTAAAACGGTGTTTGACGCAATAAAGATAAAAAATGAAAATGAAAATAATTTTTTAGTTTAGTGTAAAATGAGAGATAAATGAAAAATGACTTTTAGTCTTTTTCATTTTTTGTTTTCGTTTTCTCCTCTCTTGAGGAGAGAGAGAGACATTAATAGGTTTTTTTATATTTAAAATAATCTCTTGATAAAACTACCAAACGTATTTTTAAAAATGAATTCTAATTAAGATTGAAAACGTTTTCATTTTCATTTTTATACAAAAAATAAAATCATGTTAAAATAAATTTCAAACGCGCTCAACATCTTGTCGATGCTTATTATGAATATAAGTACTTTTTCTTTTAGAACTTATAATCTTATAATTTCTCTCTCAACATATAGCGAGCCAAAACAATTTTGGCATATTATGATATGGAACTCCGTAGATAAGTAGCTGTGAAAATGTCTGAAAGCATATTCTCTTTATTCTTTTTTTTTTGAGAGGGAAAACAACAATATGCTCTCTCACATCAAATGTAACCAATAATTTGTATTATGTCTTTTGATAGATGGTCAGCCAAAGTCATATTTTCCGATAGAAATTGTTGGTCAACGGAAATGTATTTTTTTCAGTGTCTCCCAATAATATTGGACCATCTCAATTGAAATAGTTTAGTTAATATAATAATTTAATTGGTAAGTCATGATACATAATTAACTGAATAAAAACAAGGAGATATGCGGGAGTCCATTAATCCTATTAAAATAGTACTTAATTAAAAGTGACATTGGTGTTTGTTTGTAAGAGAATCTTTGAGAGACCCACCAGAGAGTAGACTAGCTAGGGTCCCTCAAATATTGCCCCCAAACAAACAGCAGTACCTTCTCCTTCATTCGGGAGAAAAAAAATAACAGAACTTCTTTGACCGATCAGAAAAAATCTGTAAGGAAATTCGATTTAACCTATAAAGTGCAGCTAATTATTAATTCTTTTTTTTTTTGTCTTGTTAAGAGGTGCTGACTGTACTCCGACTCTTTCACTGACTGTACTCTGATTCTTTCATAATGTCTCATTTAATTCGTTGATTCAAATTTTTAATTTAAATTTAGATGTGAGTTTATATAAGAGTTTTTTATTGTAACAAAAAAATTTAGATGTGCATGTTTTTAAGAATTTTTACTGTAACAAAATTCAAATTTTAAACACAAATTAGTAAAATGAACGGGGCTTTCTAATCTCTCTTAGACGTTCATCGTCCTTTTCCTTGTACAAATTCAGATTTTCCTTATTTACTAGGACTCGAAAAAGTAATATTTGAAGCTTTCGTTTATTTTACTGATTCGAGTTTAGAATTTAAATTTTAATACAGTAAAAAATTTTCAGAAACAGTTATATTTAACTTTTTTACTATAGTAAAAAACTCTCATATAAAGTCACATCTTAATTTAAATTAAAAACTCAAATTAACAAATTAAACGGACCATCAATTTGATTACGAAAACAAAAGAAGCAAAAACAACCAAAACATAAGACAAAAGAGAGAAACATGTACCAAATATATTAAAAAAAACATGCATATATATATATATATATGTATAGATACGTGCGTACCTCGCCGGGCAAGTCCTTGGTGATGATCCATTTATCGAGCAACTGATGAGAGGCCCGTTTTTCTCTGAGGAATCTGGAAGAGATCTCCTTGGCATCCTCAAGAATCTTCTCTCCCGGGAATAACAACTGGGAAGCTCTGTGCAGGTTATACATTCCAGTAACAGCTTGCGTTGACTGCCCCGAAATGCAGAAGAATTCGTCACCTTTCTTAAAGTTCCGAAACACATCTGTGACGCGTCGTATACGGGTCAAAAACACCCAATAACATTAAGAAATGGACAAATCATGTGAAGTTTCAAATAATATATATTAGAGTTCATCATTATTAATAGTATTAATATTATTTACCAGCAGAAACCTTGTAACCATGCAGTCTTAGTAGCCTAAATCCCATGGCCGTATCATCAATGTCTTGAACCTCTGAATTTCTTGCCCAGCAAATTCCCTTTTCTGTCCAATGTCTAACATACATAACACATATAGCATATTCGTCAGATATTTTGTGTACGTAGTAGCATTTATGTTTCATATTCTAAAATTTCATGTTTATGTATATACGTATATATATAAGAATAATATACATGTATATTGTACCTGTACACATAATCAATACACTCCTTAATCTCTGCCTCAAAGAATCTAGATATTCCTAAGCGCTGCAACCGATCCGCAACCCAAATTTGTTCGAACAAGTCAACGGGGTAGACATTCGGGACTGAGGAACAATAATTAAAGATGGTCTCATGAGGATAAATATGGCAAAATGATTATTATCATAAACGACCAATCACATTGGAAAAAGTAGTGTCACTTTTATAATTAGTTACAATGAACACATGAAAAAAAAAAAAAAAAAAATTTAAAAAAAAAAAAAAAAAAAAAAAAAAAAAGAGA